AGGTGCAAATCGTGGTTCAGGACCAATGAGAAATTATGAAACAAATCTGGACGAAATCGTTTACTAGATACAGGTGTACTTGGAAAACTTCGTTTAACTGCTCCTCCTGAAAAAAAATAATATTATAATAGATAATCAAATTTCATAATATTTTACCTCGTCGTGTAGTTGACATTTGAAATTGTCCTCTACCTGTTCGATTAAATCCACCATTTCTTCCTTGTTGACTTCTCATTGAAATATTATTATGATTATAATTTCTTGATTTTTGTGCTGAAGATGTCGAAGGAAATGATTTCTTTTTTCGTACTATTTTATTATTTGTAAGAGGAGTAGCAGCTTCGAATTGATCAAAAGGATATTTTTGAAGAAAAAAATCTGTATCATCATCAAGTTGTTTACGTGTTACACAAGACCATTCTTGTTCTTTTTTAATATCACTTGGAACTTCTGATAAATCTTTCATACCATTAAGTTTATAAACACTTGGAAGAATAATAATATCAGCAAAATGCTAATAAAAATAAAAATTTATACAAAAGAAAACAAATAAGAATTCAATTTCATACTGGAACAAGTTCTTTATGATTTGTAGATGTTTGTTTTGTTTTATGTTCAACAGTATGTAGATGCTAAAATCAATGAAATTTTATTTTTCAATGAAAAAAAATGCGTAATATCAAATTTTACCTTTTCTAATAGCCATTGATCGGGAAAAACATATTCACAATAAGCACAACAAAAACGTCCATGATTATGAATACTATTTGGTGCAAGATAAAGTGCCATAGTTGCTTTATACTTATCATATGTATTTGTATCCATTATTTCTTTTAATGTTTTACCAGTTATTAAAGACTAAAAATATAAATTTAGAAAAAAAAGATAAAATATACAAAAAAAAAATAAACAAACTTCTTGCATAGCTCGACGCCATGGTAAAAAATTTGTTTCATAATGACGAATTTTTTCTAAATGTTCTAATCCATTTCGATGCTAAAAGAACATATTAATTGATTAGTCTAAATTATATATTTTTATTAAATCTTTACTTCTGTACAGAAATCTTCGGTTGTTAGAAAAGCTGAACAAATATCACAAAAGAATGCTTTTCTTTTCTTATATCTTCGTCGAGCAATACCAAATAGAAATTCTCGTTCACGTTTAGATTCATCAGATTTAGAGTATACACCAGTAATAACGTGATTTAATACATCCTAAATAATAATAATAAAGGTTTCTTTCTATTTCTAGATACAAAAAAATGAATTAAAAAAAAGAAAAATCCTAAGATTAATATTATTATGTACTAAATATCTATTCTCATATGTCGAATTCGAATATAAAATTTCATATAATTACCTTGCAGACGTTCATAACGTCATCATCAATATCGATATTTTCTGCCGTCGATATCTCATGTGTGGTAATAGCAGTAACCTGTTCCACACCGTTGTCTTCTCTGCTAATCTCAGCAGAAGACAATTTACCGTTTATTAACGGTTCTTGCTGCTGATGCTGCTGCTTCTTTAGCATGACCTGTGACTGTTCTTCGGCCATATTTAATTTAACGGAGCTATTTTGAATATTGTAATAAGCGTCATCGGGCGCAAGATTTTCTATAAAATTAAATATATACACACGGAATATATATGATAACAGTAGTGAAGAAAAAACTATAAAACAAAAATCATTATATAAATCTCTTTTTTTGTTCATTCGAATAATGAAATAGATTGAGGATATGTCAAGACAAATTGTCTCGATATAATAAACTGACTATGATATTTGTTCGTATTTTGAAATAAAAAAAAACAGATATTTTCTTTTTTTTTTTGTACATGCTTACTCTTGGCATAATATATATCTGCAGGTAATGCGGCTATGTCATCAGCTCGATCAGTAACCATATCTTTGAGAAGTTGTTCTCGAATTTGTGGAATAATTGTACCAATTTTGGAATATTTTTTATCTTGAAAAACAAGTGTAACCTGTATATTCTTTTGTTTTGTTTTTTGTTGAGTATTGTTATTAGTTTCCATTTTCTCTGGTTCCGTTTCCGATTTAATTTCTTCTTTGACATTTTTATAGAGAAAATGAAATTTCTCGCTTTGATAACAAAACTAAATGAACAAGGAAATCAAGTTTAATTTAATTACAAAAAAAAAGTTACTATGAATAGAGTTAATTAACAGCAGGAATCTTTTTTTTATTAACAATGGTGTCTCCTTTCTCAAAGCGGAAAACATTATCGAACAAAAA